GGGTGGGGTAGACCACCGCCCCCCACGGTGAGGGAGGGGGCGGGGGCAGGCTCTGCCCAGCCGGGGTGTAGAGGGTACGGGGCGGAGCCATGGCTCGTGGTTGGGGGGCTCCCATCACTGCTTGCATCTAGAGAGGGCATGGGGGGGGGTGCCACCCATATCTCTGCAGGGTGGGCTGCAGCTGTGGGATGGGCTGGAGTCAGGGCTGCGCCAGGCTCTTGTCGGCAGGGGCTGGGCTTGGGGAGGCTGTTGCAGCCACCCCAGATTTCGCCATGGCCTCGCTCCCAACGCCAATGATGCCACCCACCTGGTGCAGCCCTGGCTCCAGCCCTGCTTCCACCTACATGCCAGCAAGATCTGGGGCTGCGCCAGGTGGGTATTGGCGCTAGGAGTGGGGCTATGGCGAAATTTGGGGTGGCTACAGCCCCCTCTATAGCCCCCACCCTGAGCCGAGCCCTGGTCAAGAAGATCCTGGTCCAGCCCCAGCTGCAGCCTGCCCTGCTCTGTCCTGCTCCACATGGATCCGGGGGCACATGGGCCCCCCCTCCCCCCCCAAAGCTGTGGCTCTCTGCCCCTCCACCCTGGCTGGGCAGCACCTGCCCCTGTCCTTGCCCCCTCCCTCCCTCACCACAGGGGGTGTTGATCTGCCCCCCATTCCCCTTCCCTCCCCTTCCACCACAACGGACTTACCAGCTGCATTCAGCTCTCCAAGCTGTATCAGAAATTGGATTGGTATCGGCCGATATGCCTCCTTAAAAATGGGCTATCTGTATCGGCCCCCAAAATCTCTGTTGGTGATCTCTTGGTTTGAAGCTGCTCCTCATAATGTTTCCTTGCTTATATTTTATAGCTCTCCTTTATTCCTTTTAAGTAACTGTTTTTCCTTTACATATGGAGTTACACACAAGCCATTGTGTATAAGCCATCCTGTAGCTGCTACTTTTCCCAGTCGTAAGCAAGGCCCTTGGTATCTGAAAGTTTGTCTAACATCTCTCAAAATTATACTGTTGGTCATAAAGGATACTGCTGTCTCTAGTGGGTTATGGAATAGAGAAAATCCCACACAATTTACTGATTCGTTTTGATGCACTGGCTGGGGGAGTAGTTAGCTGATTGCACGATTTCACAATGATTACACACTTAATTTATACAACACAATTTTATTTTAAAACTCTTTGCTACGTATATAACACTGCTTAGCTTTAAGAAACACCACAAACATTAAAAACACAATAATTACATATATCAGAAACAATGCTCCGAATGCACTTCCTTCCCAAACAATGCTATAAGAATTAGTGTTACAAAAACAACTACAATTACAACTAAAAGTTAAATTTGAATCAATACTGTTATTTTTCATAATATACTTACAATCCTAGAATTCCGAGAAGCCAAATACCAAAATATGGTTTCATTCCTCAGTAGTACGAATATGGTTTCATTCCTCAGTAGTACGGTTCAATAGGCTGGCCTCAGTAATACGATTCAATGAGCTGGGCTCACCAGTGATAGGACTACGTCCCCTTCCTTCAGTCCCTTTCAGGTGCTCCGCGGCTTCAGTGTGAACTAAGAGATTCGTGTTCACGGAGAGGTTGGATTAGGTGATCAATCTAATCCGACCTTACACTTGCGATTCTTCCTTCGTTGTTCTGCAAGTGAAGTCGCCTCCAAATTGGGACAGTAAGTTACAGGTTTTTATTGAGTGAGCTGCCGTCATTGGGCTCCTCCTACTCAATTTTGTCATACCTCCCAAATTTGGGCTCGGATCTTACTCAACAGAAATTACCTTTGTTGAGCATTTTTAAATTATGCTTGGGGAGACTTCCATATCACTGTAAATACTCTTTTCTTAGCAATTTGGTTAAAAGGCCTTAGGCTTTGATGTCTCGGAATTTAGGATATTTACTTTCTTTGTAAAAAACTTCTAAAGATACAATTTAAATTAAGACTTTAAGTGGTCAGGACATTTTGCACGTAGCTCCGAAACAATGAGCTAGATAAGGAGATAAATCCTATCTTCTTCCTGAAACTGGCTAATGGGCAACCTTTACAAACATTCAAACTATTTCATTCAATATGACAACTGCCAAACTGGTCCCTGCTCAAAGCTGAGGTCCTGTATAATTCTTTTGTCTACTGCTACAGGATCCAGTGACAGGATTACTTCCAGCCAGCACCGATCATAAAGACGCCTGGGTCCGAGACAATGTCTACAGCATCCTGGCAGTATGGGGACTGGGCCTGGCATATCGCAAAAATGCAGACCGCGATGAGGACAAGGCAAAGGCTTATGAGTTGGAGCAGGTACTGAGAGAGACCAGGGGAGGCAGGCCTTGAAAAAACTTCTAACTAATATCCCATGCATCCTAACTTGTATGCAGCTTGCACTGCTTGAACCATGAACTTGACTCCAGTCTGTATGGTTTAGAGCAAACTATACTAAACTCTTCTCTTAAGCAGGGCCAATTGGCATCAGGACAATTTGCTGTGGTATCCATCTTTTTCCACAAAACAGTGCTCCAGGGTCACAGTTCTGATGTTTTGCGTTAAAGATTGTTTCTAGTGCTTCTAACCTCAAGAGCTGGGGGTAACAGTAAGTACAGTGAAGACTGAGTCTGCAGAGAGCCTGAAGCACTTTCATGCCATGAAGTAAACTCCTCCAGCTCCCTTCCCTGAGGTGTTTGTCACCATTAGGCCCCAGAGCTAACCATACTGTTCTCCATTTTGTGAGAAGAATTGTGTCTGACATGGTTATGCCACAGCCTCCTCAAGTTGCTTTTTGGGAGCCACCAAGTTATTTCCCTTTCTTCTCAGCAGTTTCTATATGGAAAGTTTTGATAGAGAAATCTGCTTTTGAGTGAGTATGTAGGAGGAGCAAATTTGGTATTCAGTACCACAAGCTGTCCTGGATGCCATGGTGATGACTGAGGGAAAACTCAGCAATGCAGCTGGAGAAGACATTCTGTTCAGAGTATGTTCATCATTCATGCTTGATTCAATGCTTTGTTATTATGATTACTCTGAAACTGCTGCAGTCTTCCCTTGTTCTCACTGGGGTGTTATGCAGGATTCATTTGGCCTGTAGGGCCTTGCTTATAGGGATAACATCAGACAAACCCCCAAAGGGTCTGACCTTCAACATGCAGGGCTAGTCTCACTGCTGTGGAAGAGATTGACATCTTGGGATGAACAAACAGTAGACTGCTAGTGCCTGGAGAGGAGCAGACTTGCCATCAGACTTGCCATTCATCCTTCCCCTTGAAATGATGCAAGCGAACTGCACTGAGGGGGGCAAGCATAGCAATCATTAAAGCTCCAGGCTGTATTTCCGGGTGCCTTCTTTGGCAGTAGGAAAAAAGGAATGGCACAGGGCACTAGCCTTGGTTGCAGGAGATTGGGGTTCACTTCTCTGCTATACCATAGACTCTCTCTGACCTTTCGCATTTCACTTCAGTCTCTCTGTACCTCAGGTCCTTACTTGGGAAGATAAATGGCACTGCCTGCCACTCAGGATGTGGTGAGGGGAGATCCACACCACATCCCATGATATTGGAGACCACAGAAATGTCTTCATGCCCCTGCTAGGAGCACTTCACCAGAATAGGAATACCAGTGTACTGTACTTGCAAACAACCTCTAGTGCAGATACAACTATACTTACAACAACGCGGTTTTCCTGGGATAACTGCCCTGGCATGCAAAGTTGGGCTGGCTGAGGATTTCAGATCCTCACATGCTTGCTCTGTAGCAGTCTGCAGGGTAGCTTGTGGCCCAATGAGAAGGCTATCAAGGCCTTCTTTCTAAGCTAAGTTTTATTATCATTCAGAACTGCTGTGGAAATACTTAATGGAACTGGGGAAAGGTCAGCTTACTAGAGCCATGGTGCTCTTGAAGGCAATGGGGGCTGAAAGTCCCTGATAGGAAAGCTGGGCACGCAAAAGAACTGCTCTCTGACCTTAAACTACCTGGAAAATTGGTCTAAACCATTCCAGAGCATCTGGAAGTTTCCACAGCAAAGTTCACTAGAATGAGATGACAAGAGAACCTGGACTTGAATTGTGTACGCAGAAGTCTGAAGACTTTTAGATGACTCAAATACTTTAGAGCAAGGGTTGTTCCTCTTTGCACACGGACCATTGACTGCAGATGAAACCCACCCCAGGGTGAACCTGAAACGGGGGGAGGCTGGGAAGGGCAGGAAATCAGATTAGGTTTTTGAACATTTCTAAGGGGCATCATAGTCTGAGGGGGGAATTGTGGCAGCCCATGTTCCTGTCACTGTTCCTCCACCTGATTTGATGGATTGTCAACCTGATTTTCGCTTGCACACTAGCTCAGCCTGCCACAGGGTGGAGTTTATGGGAACCTGATAGTGATTACCACTCCCTGATCATGCATCGGCCTAGGTCTTTCATCAGTTAGACCAACCTGGTGCAAAAGAGATGGCAGGTACCAGGATATTGTCACTCGTGGCACTGTAAATCCTGTGCTGTAATGATGTTTGCATTAAAAATACATAGCTAGAATGCTTCCAGCAGGAAATGGGCACTTAATACGAAGTTCAGAAATCCCTGAGATGCCACGTGGGAGTGTAAGCTGGTAAGTAAACTTGAACGTTGTGTAAGGGAGACAAGCCATTGTTAAATGCATTGGCAAAGGTGTGAGCGACATGGTGGTTAAAACTCCACGTGCAGAGAGAGGTTCTGTTCTGCTGCTTGGTTTATTCACTCCTAGTGGGTGTCTCAGAAGAGGGGATTGTCCTTGAGGGCCTCAATGAGGCAGAGAGGAAGCAGAGCATCAGCCAGAACTGGAGATACCTGCAGGATAGGGCTAATACAAGATCCTGAACGGCATGTGTAGCAGCTGACAGGTGCGGCATGGGGGTTGTGAGCCGAGGGAAGGAGCTGGTATGATATGACGGGAGTGGGATTGTTCTGAGTGGGGAATTGCTTAGGAGGTGCCCAGAAAGTAGGACTTGGAGTGTTTGGGCTTGAGTAGTTTGGATGCTGAGTGGGCTGAACTGAACCTTCTTTGCCCCTAGGTTGGCACCTTGCACACATTGGGGAATTTGAATCTAGATGCAACCTTCAGCTGGTCCATTTCCCCCATGGGCCAAACTAAAGCCTGCACCCAGATCCCTAGGTGATAACTTTGAGGCTGGTGCCTGCTCTACATAGAAATACTTGCCCCATGGACATTCCTGAGCCTATTCCAAAGCAATGCAGTACCAGAGAAGCATGGAATTCACTGCAGTTCCACCACCATTCAGCTACTAGTCATCTGAATTTACAGCCACACAGTTGTGCTTAGCATCCCAATAGTAAACAGATATGGGATGTGTAGTAGCGGTGCACTGACAGAGATTTTGGGGGCCAATACTGATAGCCAATTTTTAAGGAGGCATATCAGCCGATCCGATTTCCAGTACAGCGTGGATGCAGCTGTTAAGTCTGTTATGGTGGAAGGGAAGGGGTATGGCAGGGGAAGATCAAGGCCCCTGCGGTGAGGGAGGTGTGGAGCTGGGGCTGGGGCAGGCGCTGCCTGGCTGGGGTGGGGCGGAGCCACGGTTTGTCCAGGGGCACAGGAAGGGGTGGTGGCTCCTGCTGTTGCGCGCACCCCAGGAGGGCATGGGCGGGGGGGTGCGTGCCCCCCAGATCTGCATGGGGCGGGGTGGGCTGCAGCTGCAGGCTGAAGCCGGGGCCAGGGCTGTGCCGGGCTCTTCTCTGTGAGCCACCCCAGAATTCACCATAGCCCCCTTCCAGTGCTGCTGCCTGTCCTGAGTGCAGCCCCAGTCCAACAACGCCCCCCCCGCCCCAACCCACATCAAGACTAGCTTGGCCCCAGCTGCAGCCTGCAGCCCACCTCACCTGCACCCCACACAGATCTGGAAGCACATGAGTCCCCATCCCCCCCGTACCCTCCCAGGGTGTGTGCAGCGGCAGGAGCTTCCCCCCCCGTGCCACCCAGCTGAGCACGGCTCTGTCCAGTGGCTGGGCAGCACCTGCCCCAGCCCCTCACCTCAGCCCCATTCTCTCCCTCACTTCAGGGGCCTTGATTTGCCCCTTCCCTCCTCCCTTCCCTTCCACCACAACAGACTTACCAGCATGCAAATCTCCTCGCTGCTTACATGCTGCAGCTGGCTGCATGCACAGGCATTTATTGGCCAAATTATCGGCCATGTCAGACCAATTTCTGATGCACTTAATTTTCTTTATTTTGGTGCTGATCCGATATCAGACCAATGTATCGGTGCACCTCTAATAATTAGGACTGCTCAGTGCTGTGTTTGGGTTCTGCAGCATCTTGTCCTTCACAGAATGCTGTGCCCCAGCAGCTCCCCTCCACTGCTTGCCCAGAAAGTAAATGCCACAGTGGATGAGAGCCGTGGGTCTAGTTACAGGTGGGGGGGAGCTGGAAAGGTCACAGACCAGCTGCTTTCGCTGAGTCAGGTCTCCCTCCCTCCCTCCAGCCAAATGTAATTAACAGGCCTGTTTGTTTCATTCCTCTCCAGAGTGTGGTGAAACTGATGCGGGGCCTGCTGCAGTGTATGATGAGACAGGTACAGTACCAGGGGCACGTCCCGTCTCCTGCCACCCCCTTCTGCAGATCTGGACATCTCCTTTTCAATGCGTGGACTGAGTCAGGAGCTGGCAGCAGAGAAGTGCTGGAAAAAGTTGTGGCACAGGCTTTCTCCACTTAAATTAAAAGTGATGTGGGCCATTAGAGAAGGCTTAAAATAGGCTTGAGCTAGGATTTGTTTTGTTACTGGCTGGTGTG